CTTGGGAAGCCCTCCCCTCCTCCCCCCTCTCCCCTCTTCTATGTATTACCATCATTTGCGGCAAATTGTTAATAACACAGGAGGAGATTGCCAAAGTACTTTGTTCCCTGTTTGTAGACCCTTCTTTTGTTTCTCTTCCTTTTCCTGCTTCAATTCCAAGGTTGATCATCATAATCCTCTGCTAGCATGTACCCTTGGGAGCTCTGGGGAAGTTGTAGGTTAAGGGTTAGGCAGGGTGGCTGTTTAAATCTACTTCCTGCTTCATGAGACAGAGATGAGGCAGTCTCTTCCCATTAAGATTTACAGCCTTGGAAAACGGGGAGTGGCAGTGGTTTTGACTTGGTGAGTGTGTTACCCTTAACTCACTTGCCTACTCTGCTTTTGTTTTCATACTGTAGGTAAATCCAGCACTTCACAGTTGAGCATGACAGGAGAAAAAGATAGATCCCTGCTCACTGATTTCATATATAGTTTGTGATCTCTAGGTTCCAGTTGGCATTATTATGTTGCCAGATGATTAAACAATTTTCCCAGGTCCTTTCCTTTTCTTACCTTGCTGGATGACTGTGTCTACGCTTCGCTTTCCTCATAGATTCAGTACCTCTTCCCTCATCTTCACTCTTCACTGCTGACATAGCCTTCTATTTTATGGGAGTTGAGGAGATGAGATTACGTCCATGTGTTCCTACCATCATGTCTTTTCTCCTTCCTGGAGCTGAAACCAGATACTCTTGTGACTGTTGCCTGTATTTTTGTGATGGTTGCCATGTTGATTTTACTCCTATTTAAAGACAGTTCTTCCACTTGTATAGTAGATTGAGATGTTTTTCCTCCTCCTCATGTCTTCCATCTTCTGTTAAGCCTATATAAACTTATAATTCTGCCATTTAGAAAATATCCATCTTTCTTGCACTGCCATGTCTACTTCCTCACTTTTTGTTCTCATGTTTAGCCAAACTAATTAAAAAGGACTATTTATGCTCACTCAACAACACTTTTCCCTAGTTAGAGAATAGCTTTTCTTAAACTCAGGAAGAAACATTAACTTAATGCTTTAGCAAGTGCCACTCACTTAAAATAGGATATAAATGGTGCTTCATGGAGTTATGTACTTGGTATCTTAAACTAAGTTTAATCAGGCATTTGCTCTTGCCATTTTACCAAACTGCATTGTCCTGATATCTGCCATGTGACCACATGTCGTGGTCCTTTCAGTACTTATCTCTCTTGATCTACTGTGAGTACATGCCAGAGTGAATCAGCTGTATTCCCTCCTTTCTGAGACAAACCTCACTTAGCTTCTAGAACAACCCACTCATCTGTCCTTCATCTTTTGCTAGTTCTGCCTCCCCTTTCTGAACTCTCTGAGCCACTTCTTGGGCTCATTCCTCAGACATCTTCCCTTCACACTCTCACACTCGTTCCTTCATTGATCACCTCTAGCAACTAACCCATGTTGTTGTATACCATTGAGTCAGAACTGGCTTATAACTGACCCTCCAGCAATTTTCCAGAGGCAGTAAAATCACGTGGTAGGAGATTGCCCATCTTTCTTTCACAGAGCAGTTAGTGGATTCAAACTACATGTCTTTGGTTTGACAGCACAATTCCTTACCACTAGGCCGCCAGACCTTCACCAACCCAACAATTCCAGACACTGGCCCCTGCTCCTCTGTCTTCCAGGATCACAATAGCTACCTATTTTTATGACTTCTTAATTTCTAGCAGGCCATTAAAAAAATCATCCTGGGTTCTTGTCTTTCTGTCACATCCAATATCTAATGTGTTACCAAGCTCACTTCATTTTACCTTTCAAGTATAACCTTGGCTTTTTTAAAGTTTATTGTTCCTATTCATATCCCTTCTATCTCCTTGTCTCTGTTACTGTCTGCATCCCTTCCCCCCACCCACAATCTTTTCTGAGCACAGCAACTAATATGAGTCTTTTACATTATAAGCCAGACTATATTACCTCTCTGTTGAAGACAGGGAGCTCTGGTGGCCTAGTGGCAAGAAGCTGTGCTGCATTTCCAAAGGCATCAGTTTCAATGTTCAAATCCACCAGCTGCTCTATGGGAGAAAGATGGACAATTTTCTCTGGTGTGATTCTCTGCCTCTGAAAACCCACTGGAGGGTCAACTCTTGGTTTGTTCTGACTTGATGGCATAACAACAACTGTTGAAGACCTTCAAAAGACTTCCTGTATCATTTTGTGTGGAAGCTGTAGTCCTGACATACAGACTCTATAGGATTGTGCTACCTTTTCTATTCTGATTTCATCACTTCCTTCGTCTCTCTCTTTTAGTAATTTTTAACCGTGCTGGTCAGCTTGCTGTTCTTAAAACATTCCGGGAATGCCTTTCCTGCCCAGGGCTTTTCCTTTTCCTTGGTCTAGAATTCTCTTTTGTTAATAGCCGCTCACTTGCTCTTTCACCTCATTCAATGCCAGTTTTGCTCTGATGCCTTATTTCCCAGTAAGTCCTTTCCTGCACTTTAAAACAAAACCCTCCCCTTCGTATTTTTTTTATTCTTGTTATTTTCCTTTTATATTTAATTTTTTTTCTGTAGCATTTACTTGAACATCTGCCTTGCATATCTTGTGCTTGAAGATTCATTTATCTTTCTGTTCCTACTAGAAAGTAAATTCCATGAAAACAGAAATTTTTTTGCTGTTCTTAATGAAGGAACATTGCTAACTTTAGTGAGCATTCAAGGAATATTTGTTATAATGATGATTTGTAATAAATTAACATGTATAGAGTGGTTAGTATTCATTTTAGAGTTGGTTAATTAAAATCTCAAGGAAATAATGAATTTTAAGACAAACTTCCTGTCACTTGATTGAAACAAATTATTTTCTTAGAAATAAATGGTTCACCTCGAGAGTACTTTTAGGAATTTACATAGCAATAATATGTCCTTTTAGTTTTTGTCTTGAAGTGATTGATATAAGTGGAGCAGATTCTGCCTTGGGTAGGTTTGCATGCTTACTTGCTGCTTTCACCTGCCTTTCTAGATATGAATGCTACAATACGCAGAATTGACCAGTTAACCAACGTCTTGGCTCCCATGGCTGTTGGCCAGATTATGACATTTGGCTCCCCAGTCATTGGCTGCGGTTTCATTTCGGGATGGAATCTGGTGTCTATGTGTGTGGAGTATTTTCTGCTGTGGAAGGTTTACCAGAAAACCCCTGCTCTAGCTGTGAAAGCTGCTCTTAAAGTAGAAGAAACGGAATTGAAACAGCTGAATTTCCAGAAAGGTAAAGTCAGCAAGATGGACATTCCTTTCATTTGGACATTCAGGCTTTCAAATGCTGATAAAGAACAAAGTTATTTTCCGTTTGCGCTAGGTTATATTACCACGGAAGGCCTCTGTCAGGCTAAATAAATCACTGTGGTGAGTGAGGCAACTCCCAGACTCAAAGTATATGAACAGCCCGAGGTGAACCTGAAGGGACTGAAATGAGACCCTAACTTTTCATTAATGTTTGCTCTATCCACAGAGGGGGTGCTGGTTGGAGGCTAGCAGGAGAAAGAGTAGCCATAGTAGGAAGAAGAGTTGAAAAAGAGACCAAGAGAATTCCCAGGATTCTGTAAAGGAGCAACTCCATGGCCATTATTTTGACTATTTGTAAAACCATAAAGGATTATGAAGATATGAAGGTGGACATTTCCTAAGGAGAGATAAGGAAATTGAGCTTCCAGGCAAATGAAAATAAGAGACTGTGTTTTCCTAGACATAGCAGTTTTCATATTTTGCCTGGTAGATTTTCCTCTTAATTACTTTTGATGGGAGTATAATCTCCAAAAGAGAAGGAGAGAGGAAGGATGAAGGGGTGGGAGAGAGAGAATCTAAATTAATTGTATTATGTTTATCAACATAAACGTTACTTGGAGGCTGCGCCATAACTGGAATTCTCAGATTATTAGTGAAAGCGAAGGCAGAATGGGGGGGGGGGGAGAAGAAAAAAAAAGCCAAGTAAGATGATATGTTTATTTTTTTTAATGTCTCCCAGACTTCCCAAAATGATGTTGTCTCTTTATTAACAGATCCTGAGCCAAAACCCATGGAAGGAACTCATCTAATGGGTGAAAAAGAGCCTAATGTCCTTGAGCTTGAACAAGAGCAGGAACCCAGCTGTGCCTCCCAGATGGCTGAACCCTTCCGCACTTTTAGAGATGGATGGGTCTCCTATTACAACCAGCCAGTGTTTCTGGCCGGCATGGGCCTTGCTTTCCTCTATATGACTGTCCTGGGCTTCGACTGCATCACTACAGGGTACGCCTATACTCAGGGACTGAGTGGCTCTATCCTCAGCATATTAATGGGAGCCTCAGCCATTACTGGAATAATGGGAACTGTGGCTTTTACCTGGCTCCGCCAAAAATGTGGACTGATCCGGACTGGTCTAATCTCAGGATTTGCACAGTTTTCCTGTTTGATTTTGTGTGTGATCTCTGTGTTCGTGCCTGGAAGCCCCTTGGACTTGTCTGTTTCTCCTTTTGAAGATATCCGTACTAGGTTCATTCAGACAGAGCCACTGCCTACAATTGCACCTACAAAGATACCTGAAACTGGCTTTACAACTGAAATGCAAATGTCAAATGGATCTAGTCTTACTAATATTGATCTAGAGATGAGTCCTAATTCTGTGCCCATAATCTCTGTCATTCTGCTGTTTGCTGGTGTCATTGCTGCTAGAATTGGTAAGAAAATATCTTTTCATATATTAATTAACTAAAATGTCATGCTTGCTTGTCAAAACCTCAAACACATTGCCATGGAATCAGAACCAACTCATAACTGACCGTCCAGCTAGTTTTTGGTGGGAAGCAATAATTCGCGCATGAGGAGAAGTCCTGTCTTTCTCCTACAGAACTACTGGTAAATTAGAACCACCCATCTTTGAGTTGCCAGCATAATTTCTTCCCATTCTGGTGGTTTAGTTGTAATGGGTTGTGCTGCCAATCCAAAGGCACATGGTTCAAATCTACCAGCTGGTCCATGGGTGAAATATGTACTTCTCTCATGTGATTTACTGCCTCTGAAAACTCCCCAGAGGGTTGGAGTTGACTAAGGGTTTGTTCCAACTTGATGGTATACACTGACGACAATAGGCCACCGGGGCTCCCTTGGCTTCTTGCTTGTGGGTACAAAGAATTCATTAATAAGTGATCTACTTTAGTCCTTTGAATGTTTATTTAAGCAAAATATATTTATTTATAATCTAGCTTTTAATTATGAAATTTATTTTAAATTCAATGAACTATACTTTTGTGTGTATATTTTATTAAAGCCTTTCTAGGGAATTGTAAAGGCTTTATATATGGACATCTTAGATATTACTTTTATTTAATTCATTGTTTTATTAAAAAATACTGTTATGATAATTATACTACCATTTACCAGTTTAGAGACTATATTACTATACCTTTACTGAATAAACTATAATTACCAGACTATTTCTATGATATGAGGGATGAGGCAAAAAAGATGGTTTTGGTTTTAATAAATGTTAGTAGTCGTTAGGAAAAAAACCTTCAAAGAGATACTATAAGTCAAATGTAGTATATATATTTTTTGCCACACAAATGAATTTTATAGCTCTGGAAGTTCTAACAAAGTTCTTACAAAGCAAAATTTAAGTAATCATTAATAGAATTCTGATGATGGATTACCTCTGGGCTCATTCTTTCTGGAAATGAAACCAAATTTATCTTGTGATACAAAGCAAGCTCACTAATTTATCAAAGCCATTAATATTGAAGCAAGACAGCTTTATTATAGAGGTTTTAGAACCCACGCAGTAAATGTAATAATAGTTTAAAGTTTCTTTACACATTGATCAGAAGAACCTATTATTAGTTCTTTCATTTTAAGCTTTCAAAATACTAGACTTACAAAAGGACTTATTCTGCTTGTGATTTTAGAATTCTCTTTAGAAGTATAAATAATCACAGGAAAGTGGAATGAAAAAATTACCGATTAGAGTGTAAAAATCCTTTCTTAAAGCCATTAATAACCCAGAATTTAGAAATGAAAGAAAAGTTAATTCTCTATGCAAGGCTAAGATTAAAAGTATGCAAAGTGTGTATTTTGCGTAATTCAACATATTTGTGTCTAAAAGCTCAAATACATGATTATAAATTAACATTCAATCCTTTTAAAATCTCTTCTCAACAGGTCTTTGGTCTTTTGATTTAACTGTGACACAGCTGCTCCAAGAGAACGTAATTGAATCTGAAAGAGGCATTATTAATGGTGTCCAGAACTCCATGAACTACCTTCTTGACCTTCTGCATTTCATCATGGTGATCCTGGCTCCGAATCCTGAAGCTTTTGGCTTGCTTGTATTGATTTCGGTCTCCTTTGTGGCAATGGGCCACATAATGTATTTCCGATATGCCCAAAAAACACTGGGCAGCCGGCTCTTTGCTTGTGGTCTTGATGAAAAAGAAGTCAGGGATAGAAATCAAACTGATGTACCTTTTTTGTAAGACAGTTTCAACTGTTGCTCTCCCTGTTACTGGATTATATAGAGCACATGTGTTCATTTTTTACTTCAAGTTGCTATAATTTGTTGGGTGTTTCTCTCTCATTTTGCCACAGCTATGCCTTGGGGGCTAAAAGCTATTCAAGAAACTGAAGTCAGCAGAAACACACTGGTTAATTTCCTTACATTGATTTTTTTGGAAGGGGGATCGTGGAGAACAAGAACAAGAAAATCTCAGTTTATGTTTCAGAACTAAAATGTTAACACTGAGTTTCTCAATTTCTTCTGAGCAGATAAAATTTTTTACATAAGAGTGGTTAGTCATGTGAGTTAAGGTACTCTTCGACACATATTATATGTACCAGAATCCAGATGTCACCTTTCCCTAAACTCACTCTTCCTCAAGTCAGTTTATTTTTTTGGTATTTTATTCTCATATATATTATAAAAAATTCTGCTCCAAGTATACTGACTGATGTTAACCAGTATTATGCCTCTGGATCCTGTTGATCTTCAGAGTTTAGATGTGTATGGAAAACTAAACACCTAGAATTCTCTAATAGAGTTTATGACAACTTGGGGGAGCACCTTCATATCTTTGCCATATAGCGCAGTATTTTAATGAGCATATGTAGCACTTCACCAAATGGCTATATGTAAAGCTGCAGGTAGACGCCGAGCTGGCAAGTAGGTTTATAATATAGTGGGTATATAAGAACTTAAAGATGTCAGTAGTTTTCAGATACCACATGCTAACAGTTTGACACTAGAAGCTAGAAGTCACACAGAAGAATGAAATCTGAATTCAGTTCCTGCCACCATCATGAAAGGTTTACTCCTTCTTAGAAAAGTAGGAGTAGGGAGTTTTAAACCTGGAAAGTTCAATGTAGAAAGCACGCCCACATTAGGAAAAGTTTTAGGGATCATTTGATAAACTTTTAACATGCAGTGCATTTTTACTCTTTTGTACCCAGGAGTTACTTTTACACAGTTTTAGAGCAAGAACGTTTGTAAATGTATTCCTTTCAAAAGTTTTTGAGAAGAATGGAGGGGTTGGGGAGGAAAAGCCTTTTGTATGTATTTTTTAAAAACTGTTTTGCAAGTCATTTTGCAACATGTCTGTCAGGACCCATGTGGTAATTTGCCTTAACTGTTTATGCACTTTCACGGAGACTGCAATGCAATACGTTGCTGTGAGCACTTTTCTTTGTCCTTGAAGTTTTTAATCTTTTCCTTCTTTCTACAGTATGACATGATTTTCTATGTTGTAAAATCTTTGTAAAAATATTTCTATATAAAAATATTTTTAAAATCTTGATTTCTTTTTGCCTGAATTGTATTCCTTATTTAAAACTGCATTTGTTACAGAACATTTGTTTTCAATTAACGGGGGGTGGGGGGGGGGTTTCCTTCTGCCTCTTTTAAAGCTACAGTTTCATAATTCACGTTTTTCAGTGTTACCTCTCAATTCATATTTGTAGATTGTAGTGGCCTGGATGAAAGGGTAGTGTGTATACGCAGTCCATTACTCTTTCTTTTACCTTGAAGAAGTTAATTTAAAATCCATGTTTAGTTTTCTCTTTAAACTGGAGATAATCCTATAAAGGTCAATCTACCTATCCTGAAGCTTTGCTGACTGCATTAAAGAAAATAAGACACATGAACTAGAAGAGTACTTCCTGAGGTACGATTACTAGAGGTGGGGTGTAGGTAACGAGCCTCCTTTGCAGGATAGAGACATGCTCATCCTCCAGAGAGAACACATTACTAAAGTCTTGATCTCTGACCCCTCTCTGATGGTCCTGGCAAAGCAGTTATGACGTGTAGTTGCTTAAAGACTCATTGCCCTCACCCCCAAAACTGGGAGCTTGTGAACTTTTGTCCTGTCGCTTTTGAGCAGACGGGAGAGGCCTCTGTTATGTTTGGCTGCCGTCTAGAAGGGGTCATCTGCTCTCTCCCACAGGGTCTGCCTGGGGGTGGAGATCTGCTCTGAGTGTTTACAGCTGTAACCGAAGGCCTGTGGTTCAGTAGAATCGTATTTTCAGCTCCTAGTACAGGCATATTGCCAGGCTCGGCCTAGAGAGAAAGAGAGGCCTTGTGAAATGGAAGGAGATGGAGTCAGAAAGTTAATGGGATTTTTTTTAATAGCTGTTGCCCTTATCTTTGCAGGCTGCTCAGAGCAGGAAGATGAGGGTGGTGAGAGGCAGCTAAGCTGCTGTCTAGACAGCTTTTGCCCTTTATTGCCCTAGGCCTCAGGTAGAGAGGTGATTTGTGTCTCTCTGTCTGGGTGTGTTTTGAAATAAAATCCATTGTTACCAAGTAAATTCTAGCTGATGGTGTTCCCATATTACAGAGAAGAACTGCCCCCACAAAGCTGTATTCTTTTAGAAGCAAACTGTCACATCTATATTCCTAAGAGCTGCTGGTGAATTTGAGCCACAAAAGTTTTGACATTTAGCACCCAAGAGCCTTAGCAATTGTGTCACCAGAGCTTCTATGTGTCTAAATGGGCACAGATAAATACCTTTTCACGCATCCATTGCTGTCATATCAGAAGTGACTCAAAGCTGACCCTCTGGCAGGTTGCCAAGAGTCTAAATCGCACGGGAGGAGATTGCCCATCTTTCTATCTCAACAGCTGGATTCAGAGAACACATCTTTAGGTTATCAGCACAATTATCTACTCACTCGACACCAGAGTGCAAAATACCTAGATATTATAAACTAATGAAGTAGACTAGTGCAAGAAAATAGTCTAATATTTACTAAGCTATTGCATTACATCAAAGGATCATTAGCTTTCTTCTTATTAACAGACAAGTTCAGTACATTGTTTTGTGCTTCTCTCTCTTCCACACAGGCGTCTTACTGTGATTCTTAAGTTAGATATCCTTCACATACTAAACAGTTAATAAGTTCATTTTCACAAAGAAATAGGTTTACTCTTACATTTCTTGAGACACATGGCTTCCTGGAGTAAATTTTTCATTATCTCAGCTGCCACTCCTTTTTAAAAATTGAAAAACAAGGATACAAGAAGAAATTACCTATTTACTGTGAGACAAAAACAGCAAGAGCTGAGCTAAGTGGCACATGGTACTGGGAGCCCTGTTGGTGAGGTAATAGGATTTGATTGGGACTATGGAAAGCTGGAGACCATGTATCTGAGAAAGGGACAGATGCAGGCAACTTGAAGTGCCATATAGGGATATAGACCCACTTTTAATTTTTCAAGATAAATTTGGAATTTTGTGTGAAATCTCCAGATTCTTAAATGCTGGCATCTATAACATGCTGACCACAGTACCACAGAGGCACCAATGAATGGGCTGTCATGTTTTGGCTTTTTGCTGAAGAGATGATTTGTAAGTAGAATGATATTGAATAAAGGTTATAGCTATAGATGTAGGAGAAGAGAAGTACATGAACCAATTCGCAGTTGACCCTCCAGCAAGTTTTCAGAGGCAGCAAATCACACAGGAGGAGGTTGCCCATTGTTGTCGCCCAGAGCTACTGGTAGACTTGAATCCTGTTTCCTTGGATTGGCATCACCACTTACCAGTAAGTCACTTGTTGTTGTGGACCATCAAGTTGGAAATGACCCATTACTAACCTTCTGGTGAGTTTTCAGAGGCTGTTAATTGCACAGGAGGAATCCGCCCATGGAACAGCTGGTGGCCTCAAACTGTGTGCCTTTGGGATTACAGAGCAGCTTCTGGCCACTAGGCTTTGAGAGCCTCTTGCTAGATGTCTTAAAAAAACAAATTAAGGTCAACTAACTTGTGCATTTCATATCTGCTGTATCATGTCAATGAGAATTCCACTTCATTCTTTCATCCTCTGTGCAGCAGTTGCACTGCTAACTCAAGAGCCTCTCCGCTCAGGCAGACTGAATCCAGCAGCTGCTCACAGGAGAAAGACAAGCCATCACCTCACAAGCAATGTCCAGCCTTGGAAACCCATAGAGGATCAGCTCTGAATCAGGTCTGATTCAGCAGCAATGAATTCCAGTTTGGAGTTTGGTGTGATGTTTACACCCTTAGGTTACAGAATAAGGATGATTTTTTCAATCAGCATGGTGTGGAAAGAGTTCTGCTAAATTATATCATGCTTTCACTTATGTGATTTGAAGATAAAATCTTTACCAGGTCATAACTGGTGGCAATTGGAATTCATCACTGTTGCAGGTGGGATAACAGAAATGAGGACAAGACCATGATTGGGATACATGCCTAACTGCCGATTTGAAGAATTTTCAAGATTGGCCCTGGGGCTCCTGCAACCTGATTATATGGTGGTCTAGTCACAGCTAAGTCTCATGACTATCGGGGCTATGACTTGAGATCATGTAAGCTCGATCTTTGGCAAGTCTTGAAGGACAGCCCAGCCAAGTTCCCCAGTTCTCTTTGTCAGTCCCAGGGGTGAATTACAGTTTCCTATGCTCATCTGGCTGTTCTAATCTACTTTCATCTGGACTCTTCCTCAGAAAAAAGCCACATGTCTGGTTTCATTGACTGAAAAGAACTCAAATTATATTTCAGCTTTTTCAACAATCAAAATCCTATTAGACTTCCAATGAGGACTTTGGTTTTCCGAAAACCAAATATATTAGAACTTAAGCTTGAATACACTTCCTATGTATCTCTGGATATTGTTTCCCTATCCCAGAACTCTAAAAAGGATGAAAAGAAAAACTATATTTGCATAAAGACAGTGGCATACTAGCAAATAATGCAATACTATACAAATTATTTAGTTTAATATATTTATTATGATTGATTGAGGATAATTTCAGCCACCACTGACTTTTAACTTTTTCTTTACACATAATACTATTTATAATGGAAGTTAACCATTGTTCCTTTTTTATAATATCCCTCCCTTCCCCTCTTGATCTTATTTTCAGAATGATCTTTCTGGGATATCTTTATTTTACAAGAAAAAGATTCAAGAACAACCTCATTACAGCTCATATACATCCATCACAGACAAGTCTAAAGTGGCTAATTTAGTCATACTTTAAAAGTTAAATGAATTTTTCTCCCTTTTATGGGGACTTGTTTACATTTTCCAAGTCCAAAAGGGAGCAAGTGTTTTATCTAAAGAATGGAC